TCCCGCCAGCTCTGCTTGTATTCAGTAGTTCTGTCCACCATGAGCACTTGGCTCTTTTCCTCCCACCATTTGAACTATCACTCACTGCCAGAGACAATTGCCACGGGACCGTATTGCCTGCCGGTCCAGTGACGATTGTCGAGTTGAGTCCCAAATTATGGTAGCACGCACCATCGTTTGGCATTTCTTCGACTACTGTAAGGGGATAGAACGAGTACCAGCTCATTTCCGGTGGTCTCATTATACCCTGAAAATTGCATGAGTGATAGTCCTTGGTGTCGATCAATCCCGTTTTTGAGACGCGCCTTCGTACTTGACTTCTTTCTAGGATCGTAGTGTTGTTTCGGATGTTTATCTGGCCTACATGTACAATGTACTGCGGTGGTCAATTGATGTACAAGTCAGTGCTTTTATCTTCCCATATGAGTCTGTTACCAATTAGCTAACCACAAACGATGGAGAGCTTGGTTGGCCTCGGCGACTATCATTCCGGGACCCGATCCTAGAACCATGTGAGTGTGATGATGGTGCGTCACCTTCCGTGGAGATCGGGAGCCGATTGAAAAAATCAAGTTTTTCGGCTCGGAGCTGTGAAAGCTCGAATAAACGCAGCACGGACAACGTGAAGGAAGTCCACTTGTATCTTTTTTGAAAGAATCCTCCAGGGCACTCAAGGGAAAGAGTGGTGTGATAAACGATGCCTTACGGCAGCAAGGGCTGGTCCACAAGTAGAATTCATGAAAGACAACTTTACTCCGCTGAAATAAGGAGGCTCAGATGGGTTTGCGGTTTATGACCATTGGGCTGGAACAGAACGAAAACGTCAGGGCGGTTACCTAACAACCCCTGTTTAGTTGAAAATGTGGGAACAACGTCTTCGATTGTACCGACACGCACTGATACGGCCAACGAATCAGCCAGTGGGAGAAGTATGCAGTTCAAAGCCCAAGGTAAGCTACCACGAGGAGCCCCAAAGAAGAGGTCAAGAAAGGCCTCGTCGAATCTAACGTAACGGCGGAAGATGCCGTAGATAGAAGGACGTGCAGACGGATGACAATAACAGCGGACCCTGAAGCGCAGATCGCGATTGGATGTCAAAATGCACAGTTAACTGCATCGCACCGAAATCGTGTAGAAGAAATCGTCCTTGATCAAAAATCGAGTCCCCCTCATTGGGTTGCTGAATCATAAGCATTGTTGGTTCTACCAGAACGGATAGAAAGAAGCTGCACGTAATTTGCTCGCTGAATTGCACACACTTCACGTGACTACAGATGCTCTAGTGTAACAGACGCCTACTCAGAACATTCAAGCAGGCTGGTTCCTTCGGTCCATGTATGCGCCGTACACTTTGACTTATGACCCCCTCAACCCACACCTTACTAGGTCTCTTCAGATGTTTCTTCAATCATGACAGTATTTGATGGTACACAGCTACTATGCAGTAGTTATATGTATGCGTTAATAGCGGTGATGAGCTCTTATATTTCGCATTACATTGCCTTTTTATTGTTTAACCTATGAAGCTATCGATTTCTGTGCCACTTTGATTTTTCCGGTGGACGACATTGTTTATCGTCTAGTTTTTAGTACTTTCTTTTTTTTCTTTCGACTGATAGCATTGAGCTACTTTTCGATTTCATCACCTCAGAACGGCGATTTGGAAAACAGTTCCAAAAAGACTCGCACTGCTCTAAGGTCGATAGAGATCGGCTTTTTCATGGAAATAGGTTTTTCAATGGGTTCGAATCATAGATCGATATCCGCCCAGGCCAATCACGCATTCCATCCCTTTTGGTTGGCTAATTGGTACCTGACTTGTATGGGAAGATAAAGCATTAATTTGAACATCAGCTAGCCCTGCAATCATTGTATAGGCCACATACGCATTGAATACGTCACTACGATTCTGAATGGAGGTCGAATGCGGGGCGCATTCCTTAGACGGGATTGATCAACTTTCAAAGACTTCATCGTTAAATCTGGTCAATGAATATAAATCACTTTGGGAACAAGTAATCGCCCTTCGAGATAAATGTAATGAGCCTGAATGAGCTGCCTTATCAGAAACTCTTCAACCAATCCCATATGTACACTGGATTCCTATCGAGCCCGAAGTTTACCGAACTATGGTTGACCATATAGTATTCCCCTTCTGTAGGCCATGTTGTTGACTTCCACTGAAAACTAGTGAAACAAGAGTATGCGTTTGATCTGCATTGGCTTGGTTTGGGACGAAGCAGTTCGGGTTCGATTCCTAGTGTTCAAAACCCTTTTATCATTGTAGGACGCAAGCGAAAAATGAGCAGATGGACTAGTGATGACATTTGCTTCCCACATAACCCCTGTGGGCAGAATATGTCTCGAGACAGCACTGTTAAAGTAAGCATTAATCAGTCTCAATTAGTTCCTCTTACTTTGTACCTAGCAGTTGCTAGATGAACCGCCTGCAGTGAGGCCTACCAGTTTATCACTTTCAACGATGACTTCGTTCGAAATGTTGTTTATAAACTTCATAAAAGGAGACGGTTTAGGGGCGAGTGGCGCACTATCACACGCGAATAGTCGGGAGATCGCTCCTGGATAGGTATTCTTCTAGGTCAACTAGGCCTTTAATCCCTGTGGGATCAGTTGATTATTACCTCATTAGTTTGCAATTGCAAATTGTTGGAAGTACAGAGCTCTGACTTATACATCGGTGTACTGCCGCTAGCCATTTTTCAGAACATATTCGCATTCATACACCACAACGATTTCAAGTGGAAATCGAATGCAGGGTGCATCCTAAAGTTGGAAGTGGTCAACGCCAAAGACTTGATCCTTCGACCTCGAGCCTAACAGTAAGTGTTAGGTTTTTCCTTCATTTCGTGGCAGCAGTCCAAATCGTTCTAGTAGAATACAAAGTCATCGTACGCCACATTCCATCAATTTTGAAGTTTTGGGCTTTGCTAAACGAAATATTTGAAAAGTCTATTGAATTTCCATTCAGTTCATAAATCTATTCCATGAATACTTGGACTTTTAAGGTTGAGATCGGTCCCCACACGCTGAGACTTTGCCAACTCTGCGACTCGAATTTGAAAAGGAAGTGGTAGTAGGGTTTTGTGGTTGAGCACGCTTTGATAAGATAAGCCCGAATTCGGAGTAGTAGAATAGTACTGATAGGCAAATGGGCTCACATCATCGTAGCCATCACGGTACAATAAATCATAAAAAAATCATGGAAAAGGAATTTAACAAAGTTATGGTCAGTTCCGTCCCTACGGGAGCCGTTTATCAGCACCAGACTCGTCTGATAGGGTAAAAACACTGACTTATACATCGGCTGGCCACTATAGGCCACACACGCATTGCATAAGAACGCAGGTATTTTGGGTGGATCTCGTTTAGGATCAGAGGAAGAAAAGGGCATTCTGAAAATATAATTGTTCAGCGTTGAAAGACTTGCTTCTTCATCCGTTATTTCTTATGATAATATTTCTTCTTTTATTGGAGAAATGGTAGTTATGGTGAGTCTTCGTTTTTGCGTCGGCTCAAAAAGATGAAAAGCGACATGCATGTGGAGCCCCAATTTATTGGGACTGACTTTGTTGAGCAGAAATTCTCCATCACTCTAATTTTTGCCTGAGTACGCAAACAGAAGCAAAACAACGAAAATGTTTGATCAAAATAACTGGAAGCGTTCTCATCCTCTTTTGCCCTATGCTACCTTGGTTTGGGAACACTTTGTGCAATAAATGGTTTTATGCTCGACTTGTATTCATATTTTCTCAAGTGTCGTTTTTTTTTTCGCATTTAATCTCTACGAGTAGAAAGAAGAACTGCGTTTTGGCCATAACACAAAAGCTAGATAGTTACTAATATTTCTCACTTTGGTGAACCATGGCCCTCAAGGATAGCTCAAAAGATATCGTCAGGTCGTAAAACGGCCATGTTGCGGCGTATGGCCCCGAGCCGGCTTAGCCGCCGTACATACCGAAAAAGGACGAGTTCTGAACGTTGTCAAAGTCGTGGAGGTTGCATTATTCGCACAAGGACCCACACTCTGCAGGCAGGTAGCTTACTGCAGCCAGGTATGTGAATGGCGCGCAGACTTGAACAACACGTCCACATACCCCTTCTATGCGACTCTTGTCGTAACATTCTCGTCCAACTCTAACTTTACTTCTTTTTTGAGCCTTTTATTTTCTGAATACGACGATTTTTGAGTTTCCATCCACCTTTGCACTGTTCTGGACTATCACTTCCATTACTCGTCTAGAACTGGATACCGCAAAGTTATTGTGATCTGTGCCTTTGAATAGAATGAAAGACTGAGGATAGGTACAAGACGAGATGATATATTTATCATCCCTAAATCTGTTCCATAGAAAATGATTATGGGAAAGAAAGTATGATTGAAAACCTAAACGCCCATGAGACATATACTCGTGCTTATGCATCCCTTTTTCGGGATATGATAATGACGTAACCTGGGAATTTTCCTGTCCCGAGATAAATTAGGTGCACAAGTGTTAAACGAAAGTGTATTGTAGACTACGGACTTCAAAATAGCATCTGAATCATCGAAAATTTTAGAAAAGAACTAAAACGAGAAGGAAAAGTTCTACGCAGGCCACTCCAGGGAATAATACTATATATCGTTTAATTATAACAGAATTTTGCTTTTCATTTCTCATTCTTTTTTGAGGTTGACCTTCGAATTGCCGCGGTCGATAAGATTTTCCGATCAACCCGTTCGTTCTCTGTACCCCGCTGGAGGACGGCAGTGCTGACAAATACGAACACTCAGCGACCGAAGTTCAGCTCGCCATCGTTGCATTAGGGCTATCTGCAACCTTCTAGGTTGGTCTATTTATCATCACTCTCAGAACTTCAATTTAGTCATTTTTGAGGTTTCCTTTCACCTTCCATTTGAAATTGTAGGGTGTCCCCCTTGTCTTTTCAATGTGATTGGATTTTTCAGCTCGTATCGATTTCCATTTTCCAATCAATCAATTATGGCGCCGTACTCGGTAATGATCACTGGAGCCAACCGTGGCATCGGACTCGGTTTGGTGAAGGAATATTTGAAAAATAAAGAAATTCATCATATTATCGCTACTGCTCGAGATCCAAATACTGCTCAGGTGAGTTTGAGCTTCTGCTTAATCCAGGGTCAAATGCGTATGTTAAATCTCAACGGAAAAGCCAATCTGTTGATTAGTTTTTGAGGTGCGCTTTGTGAGGACATATACCTTTGTAACCACTGGTTTTTCTAATGAAAGTGTAGTTGGAGAGGGGCCAACCCCCGTCTCTAACAGTAGGCGCTAGAGCTCAGAGAAGGAGGGGTAGCCGTATATGGGGCTTCCTATCAAATGAAATCTTGCTTGAGTATGTGCCTTTTTTGTTTCTCAAGATCTTGTTTGCGTCTCCGTCGGCTTTTAGAGCAGAGACGCAGTTGCCGCATATAAGAGAGAGCGCAGACGACATGAGAATTGAAAACAGCNGCTTGAGTATGTGCCTTTTTTGTGGATGTGCTAGTTCTCAAGATCTTGTTTGCGTCTCCGTCGGCTTTTATAGCAGAGACGCAGTTGCCGCATATAAGAGAGAGCGCAGACGACATGAGAATTGAAAACAGCTGAGTCGGCAGCTTAATGCTGCACTGCCATCCATCTATAGCCGTCATAGGGGCTTTCTAACGGGTTTTCTAGGGCATCTTTCGTCCACGGACGCGCATGGTGTAAGAGCAAGTGGTGCACTATCACCACCCAGTCTCGCTCACACCAACCGATCCTTCCTTACATCCGTGACCAGCTTATTGGCACCAGACTCGTCTGGGAGGTTAAAAGCTTTGACTAGTACATCGGTTGACCACTGCAAGTTAGCGTATAGGCCACATATGCATTCAAAACGTGACTACGATCCTGAATGACAGGCGAATGCAAGGCGGGTTCCAAAAGTCGTATCGATTAGCGCCAAAGATTTTATCCCTTTATCTGCTTGCCTCTTCCGCCACTCTTGATTACTTCTTTCCCAATGCGCAACTTTCCCGGTTGCATGCTTGCAAACTTTATTCATCCTATTTTGCCTAAACCGCAATCGCAAGATAGAATAACAGCATTTTGGAGTTTGGAGCAGTCGAGCGTGAGATTCAATTCTAGCTTGTATTGGTCTTAGATACCGCATTTATTTCAGCATTTGAACGAGATTAGCGATAATCGACTGAAGGTGGTGAAGCTCGATGTGACATGTGACGATTCAATAAAGAACGCTTATGCCGAGGTAATTTGTCTCAGCTTTTATAATTTTTTTCTAGCTTTTGTATTTCTCTCTCTCATATTCGATGCCGCTCTTCGGAAAGCCAACAAAACACTCGAATAAGAAGACAAGGTATCATCTCTCTGATGTAGACATACACCATAATTTGTTGCTCGAATTCTTGCGCTGGTGTTATGGTAGGCCATAATCCTGTACCCTATAATAAAACTTTCTCAAAGAGACGACTACTCAGCTCAGTAGCGATCGGACCATAGAAGATACGATGTGCACCTGAGAAGTCTTCAGCTGAACATACAATCCTTGAGGGCGGTGATAGTTTAAATCCAGTAACTGCAAAGGTTGCATTAGGCCTATGAAAAAGAGTTTTCAAAGAAAAACTGCTTCTAGAGAGTGAATTAGAAGCTCAATTTACGATATTTTCAGGGTGTCTAGTTTCAGACGAGTGATGAAAGCGATAGACTCGAGTAGTGCAAAATTGCCGCAAAAAAAAGCCGCAAAAATCGGTGAAAATAAAGGCAAGTACGCTCAAGAAAACTCGTAAAATTAGGGGATGGACGAGAATGTGAAGAAAAAAGTTGGAAGGGGTTTTGGACGAGCTACCCAATCGCGTTAGCCATTGCGGACCTGGCTACAGTGAGCTAACTGCATGCAATGTGCGCGTCTCGGTGCGAATGGTGCAGCCACTACAGTCTCTACAACGCCGTGAGTACTAGTCCGGCTTGGGTGTGTGTGTCAGATGAGTCGCTTGGGACCTTTCCTATCTAGATCACTTTCCAATATGACAGCGTCCCTTGTGCTCTTTGGGGATCAGGTTCATTCCTGGGAGAGATTTCGAAAACCATTTCCATCGTGAACTGTGCCCTCAACCTTGGCGGAAGTTGATGGCATAAATGGGTTTTCATTTTGATGGAAAATAGATCAGGATGACCGGCTCGTCTCCAGTCTTTTAGAACCATCTTAATCTTCTTGTTTTCTTTCTCTCTAAGCGCTGCAGCTGCCTCAAAGTGGCTTCAATCGATTCATAAATTTGCCGACTTTTCGAAAAGTATGTGCGTTGTCTTTGAAGCCAACAAATTCACTAAAATCGCTTACAGGTCGAGAAAATCGTTGGGGAGAAAGGTCTCACTGTTCTCATTCACAATGCCGGTATTTGGGTTCCGTATTCGACAAATATGGAACCAAATCGTGCAACTCTCATTAAAGTTTTCGACACAAATGCAGCTAGTGCAGTTGTTATAACACAGGTTGGGACCATTCAATTTGGGCTTTTCTTGTTCTCAGGGAATCTATCAGTATTTTGTAGGTATTCTTACCACTTTTGCGTAAATCAGCTACTGCCTACGGAAAGGACGAGTTTTCACCTGATCGTGCTGCCGTCATTGGTATTTCATCGGGTGTTGGATCCATCGGCACCAATACCTCCGGTTCGGGAACGCATGGTTCCTTGGCTTACAGAATGAGCAAGGTTAGAGGTTTCTGGGATACTCGAGAATTCTCAAGTCAGGAAACGTACTCCTAGCAATTGGTCCTCTAAACAGCACAGTTGCAGTCAGCGATGAACTCCGTACTGAAAACGATGGCAATTGACCTTGAACCCGAACACATCTTCGTCGTTTCGTTCACTCCTGGCTGGGTACGAACAGATATGGGAGGACAGAATGCAGAAATCTCGGTAGGTATTATTCCACAGAGCTTTCAAGTACGATAGACTTCCATTAAGCAGTACGGCGGTAGTTTTGACACCTTCATTGACCATGTCAGGTACAGTTGTCATAGTTTCTTTTTTCAGGTTGAAGAGTCTGTGGAAGCTATGGTTGCTTCATTTAGCCAACTCAAAAAAGAGCACCACGGTGGATTCTTCCGACGGAATCTGGAAACATTCCCTTATTAATATCTGCATGTTGAAGTTATATAAATTGCTTACTTGGAGGGTTTTGTGTGCGTTGTTTGACTGTCCAGTTTTTTTT